AGGCAGATGCATGCCCAGAGAAGTTGGGGTGACACAGGGAAGTCACACCTGAGAACAGAGATCATGGCCAGAATGGGTGGGGCCACTGCAAGACAGAGAATATCTGGGAGTACATAATCCCTAAACAAAGCAGCTTGCTCACTCTGGTGGCTCTTGGCTCTCCTGCATTCACCCGTGTGGCCCACAAGCCATGTGGATCCCACACACGATGGACTAGGACTGCAGTGGGAACCACCAGCTAAGCTAGCCTGATGCTCCAACATGGAAAGGAAACTCTGGACCTGGCTCTGATTTTAGCTCTGCTGAAGCCCCAGCTGCTCTGCTTCCACGGCGGGGAAACGGGAACCTTGGGAACTCTGAGGTTTGATTCCACAGAAATAAAGCTTTTTCATCCTTCTGTACTAGTGTCAGAAAATTCTTTTTCTTGGGATAGCACAAGAAGTCCACTCCCAGGAGCCACAGGTGGAGGTGAGGACTTCTCCCCACTGGTAACACAACTTTGTTTACAAAAACAGGAGCAGCAGCTGGCTGCCCCTCAGCCCGGAGCACCGAGTGAAGGGTTGCTGCATGGAAGGGGAAGTCTCTATTCTGTGCTTCTCCAGAGAAAAGAGATGGGATCAGATAGGCAAGTTTCCACTGAATCAGCTTTTAGCTTATTATGTGGAAGACTTAGTAATTAGAATAAAACAAACTGTCTTGCAGCTTAGTGAGCTCATCGTGTCCAGATGTGTGCAAGCAGAGGCTGGGTGATGTGTGAGGGTTGCTCTAAGAAGACAGTCCTGAGGTGAGTGGGAGGCTGGAAAAGATGAGAGACCCTTTCCCACTCAAACAGCCTGTGGTTCCAGGACATTCACACGCGTGATCTTCCACTGTGACACTCGCCAGCCACATGAATGCTGGAATGAAATGTAATCTCTCCTCCGACTCTGTGGGGCGCTATGAGGAGGTGTCTCATTTGCTGGGAGATACAGGGTCCTGCCACGCAGTGAGGTGCTGACCGCGCCCCTTGACACCTGCCACTCCTTGGAAACGTGGATGGCACCCAGGTTGGAGATGCTGCTGCAAGGTTGCAATTGGTCATGGTTTCTTGTTGCTGTCCACCTTGGTCATGATGTCAGAGAGCTTTATGACAACTATAATTTTAATTAGAAACTTCTTTGGAAGACAGCTTCTCTTGGGGAAGTTAGAGACCCAGTGGCTGGGTCTGGCTGCTCAGTCCTGGGTGCATGTGTGTCCTTGTCCTTCGTCATTTAATGCACAGCCTTTCAGAGTCTCCAGTCTCTGACTTTAACTTTGAGAAGAAGTCGTACCACATCAACACTAACCACAGTCAGGGGATGTCAATGTTGTCGTAAAGCAAGTGGAGATTTTGTGGGTCACACTGAAGAAGAATCACGTTTCTTAGAATAAGTCACACTGTCAGGTGCCTTGTTTTCCCTTTAGATGAAGCTCTAATGTTTATTTTGTTTAATAAAGAAGAGAACATTCTTAGCTGAAATCGTATATTCCTCAGAGACAGAGGTCAAGCAGACACAGCGAAGGGGAGGTCTGTGTTCTGAAAGTGGACTTCGGCCGCGTGTCTGCACTGGAGAGAGGCCCACGCGAGACCACAGCTACAGGAGGCAGCCGACGCGCGGGCCCACGGAAACGCAGAATGAGCCTCCCTCTACAGCCGTGGTGCCAACCTTCCCGATGCCGCGACCTTTAATACAGCTCCTCAGGTTGTGGTGAGCCCAACCATCAAGTTGTTTTCGTTACTACTTCAGAACTGTAATTTTGCTACTGTTGTGTCTTAGGCGACCCCTGGGAAAGGGTTGTTCAACCCCCAGGGGGTCACGACCCACAGGTTGAGAACTGCTGTTCTAAAGTCAGCCCGAGCCAGGGGCCGGGTCCGAGCCAGGGGCCGGGTCTGAGCCAGGGGCGGGGTCTGAGCCAGGGGCCGGGCCTGAGCCGGGGCCGGGTCCGAGCCAGGGGCCAGGTCCGAGCCAGGGGCCGGGTCCGAGCCAGGGGCCGGGTCTGCCGCCCAGGAGCAGCAATGTGCCCCTGGCATGCGGCGCGGGCCGGAGGCGAAGGGACCTGCTGGGTCCGTAGCTCAGACATGCCTCCTGACTCGGTGTCACAGGTCTTTCAGTGCGGGCTGTGGAAAAGACTGAGAACCACTTCTCCCCCTCACTCTCCCAGAGAGGTAAGGTCATCTTGAAACTTTAAAAGACAACTTTGCTCTTCTGCAAAGAGAAAATCTCGTGATGCCATCTGGTGGGAGGGAAGGTGTGACTTCAGGTCCCCCAAGCTTTACAGGTGGTATTTCACGTCCAGGGAAAGTGCCCACCTAACTAAGTACAAGTGGTGCTTCATCATCCTCGTCTAGGCTTTTCTGTTCCATGGATCAACTCGCCACATTCTCCAGACAGAAGCAACGAGAGAAAATGCAAAGCAGAGCAATCCATTCATGACTCATTCTCTGTGAGATCCAGAGGCAAGTGCCCGTCCGGAAGTCATTGTACGTCACGGCCTTCCATGCAGATGGCCAGAGTCAGCCCTGTTCTAACACAACGACGAAACACATCACTATATTCTGCTGAGGAGACACTTCCAGGCCTCCAGCCAAAGGCCACAGGCGCGGGCTCCAACGTGCTTCTGAATATGTTTGAAAGGCAAGGAGTGTGCCAATGCCGACTCTGCACGTTTCTACCTTTCTGCCCTTTCACTCCTGCATCTGCGACATGGGTTAACGAGGACCGAGCGGGGCACTCGGCCGGGCCGCTCACCCCGGACGCGGGCTCGTGCGGGACCCTCCGCGGGCGCAGCGGCCTCCAGGGGTAATGCTCTCGGCCCGCCAATGACGCGAGCAAAACTGCACAGAGTACAGATGAGGATTATGTCTTATTTTCTGGTTTGCTCAAAGTGGGGACGTAGCTCGAGGAAATGCTACGGTCTCCGTTTTCTTCCAGACAAACTGGTTCCGAAGTGGGCTGAAGCTTCACGTGGTGCTCGGTCCCCAAGTTTCACTCTGTTTGGACCATTTGGCCTATTCCCGGCCTGTACTGACTTTTATTTTTTCTTTTGCGGTAAAATGAAGGCCTAGCCTACGACTTGTGTAAAGGGCAGATCGTGGGAACAGGTGTCACCACCAGCGTCTCCCACATCGTTGCTGAGGCCAGTGCCCCAGACGCTGGTCCTTCCTGAGATTCACGGGCTGAAGACACAGGTGGAATGATGTGAAGCTTCAGGCTGTGACTGCCCAGCTCACAGGGCTGGTCAAGGGCGGCCCTAGGGAAGCCCGTAGCAAGCAGGGGCTGGAAGGGTGTGTGCCCTCACCCAGCAGGGACAGCTCCCATGTCAGAATCCCGGAGGGGGCGCTCACAGAGCGGCCTGGGTGAAGGTCGCACACCGGCTAACCAACGTCATTCACGGGCTTGGAAAGGCTGGTGACAGGGTAAGAATGCAGTCACTCCACTCGGGTGAAAAGAAGCCATGTCACTGGTGTTGGGCACCTTGCTTGGTACACACTGCAGCTGAGGTCTGTGCGGGCGGCTGTGCGGGCCGGCACACTTCAGACGCAGGCACGGCGTGTTCAGTGTACCGAGAACCATGTGCTACAATCAGACACACAGGCGCGGCCGTGTTCAGTGTACCGAGAACCATGTGCTACAATCAGACGCACAGGCGTGGCCATATTCAGTGTACCGAGAACCATATGCTACAATCAGACACACAGGCGCGGCCGTGTTCAGTGTACCGAGAACCATGTGCTACAATCAGACGCACAGGCGTGGCCATATTCAGTGTACCGAGAACCATGTGCTACAATCAGAACAAGGTCTGACCCGAAGCTTCGAATCGTGTGTGCCGCTCAACAGCTCCATTCAGCCCGACTTTTGCTGGGATCTGAGTCCCACGTTTTGGATTTGTCTTTGGCCTGGGACAAATTGCTGACGTTTTAATATTTCTCTAGATGTTGTTTTTCAACATTTTATCTCCTTAGCTTAAATCTTTGGTTTCTAGTTCAAACCCCAAACTGTTTTTTAAGGTCAACCAAAATTCATTTGCTCCCCCTGCCTCTTTCTGGTGCTAGCTTAGAGCAGAAATTCAAGTGAAAGTTATTTTTAAAGATTAAGTTACTCAGGAGTGACTTCAAATCCATCGGGTTTAATGATTTCTCTGTAAAAACCAGGATAAAGAACACTTTCTTTTGACTCAGAGATGTTTTCTCTGCTTCCTCAGAGTGTACTGAGACTTGATTTGTTACATGTTGGAGAAATGAAAGGAAAAAGGTAGTTAACGACCTGAACTGCTGAGCTTCCTAAAGGGGTCGATTCAGTGAGGGGGGGTCTTTCAGCACAGAGGTCAGCAGCCTCAGCTTGGAGTTAGAGGTGCCCGAGGCTGAAACCTGCTCTTGCTTCTAGTTAAACAAACAAACAAACAAACAAACAAACAAACAAACGTAGAAGAATGACTTAACCTGTTCAAGTTTTGCCTTCTTTATCTAGAAAACAGAGAATTCCTACCGCAGTGAATTAAATGAGATCGTGCGCGATGAGCCTGCCGGATATGAACGCATCTGGAAATGAACTTGACATAAAATGCTGTGGGAAAGAACGAGGCAGAGGACACGTGGCCTGGCCCCTCCGACTCGGCGGCCCCCTCCTCATCTGCCAGTATCTGCGGAGTACTGGCCTCGAGCATGCAGTGGGCTATTCGCACCTTGACAAACTTCGGCAAGAAGTTCTTTATGGTAATAAAGAATTAAGGTGTTTTACATCTTTATGCAAACCCACGGATAAAAACTAAAGTGAAATGAGATGGTGAAATAAAAACGCCTTGACCTGGGTTTATAACAGACTCATTTAACCTTTCATGGTTCTGAGGAGACGGGCTCCGTGGAGAACAAACATACAGGGCCAGGCCTTTCATCATTCTGTTAGGTGCGTACTGTTTCTAACCTAGGAATGCAAGCGTCTGCCGTTGGAATGGCTGTGCGCCTGGGGGTGAGCACGTACCTTTTTCCTTTGGAAGTTCACATCAAGTTTCATGGAGGCACACTTGTTCAACGTATTTAGTCGTCTAAAAAGAAAGAAAAATGGGATGATTGCTCCTACTCTGGAACCTACATTTTCTCTCCAGTGTGTTAATTCTCATTCATTGGCAGTGACGTTGAAAGTGCATCAGTTACGTTATGTCCCAAGAAAGTACTGACGTCCCAGAAACTCCGCTCCAGGAGAGCTCCTGAGCACTCCCCTGCCTGGAGCCCATTCCGCCCCTCCCCCTTCAGCAGTGCCCACCCCGCCCTTCCGCCCTTCCGCCTGTCACACTTTCTCCAGCCTCAATTTGTTTACCACCTGGGTTTCTGCTGTGCTAGTCTCCAAATCTGGATCTGCTCAACTGTCTGTCCTCTCCCCTGCTCTTGGACTCTTGGGTATAAATGGAAAAAATCTCACATTACAGTGCTACATTACACATGCTGTGGATTGAATTGTTTCCGCGAACTCACGCGGTGAAGCCCTACCCCCAGGGTGACTGTATTTGCAGTGACAAGTAATTAAGGTGAAATGAGGTCACAGGGTAGAGCCCTGACCCAGTAACACTGTTGTCCTCAGAGAGCTGGCTCTCCCTCAGTCCAGCAGGTGGGGACACAATGAGAAGACGCCGCCTGTGGGCCAGGAGGAGTCCTCCTCGGGAGCAAGCCCCCTGATGCCCACACGCTCCAGCCGCCCAAACTGGGAGAACAGAAACGTCCTCTGTGTTAGACACCCGGGCTGCGGTGCTCGCTCCGGTGGCCCTGCTGCCCACACATCCATTCTGGTTTCACCCTCAGCTGGGTTCTCAAAATTGCTACCCAGCACTCCTTGTGTTTCTTTTCTCTGTTTGGCTCCCATCTGAGATCATAAAAAAGATGCCAGTTTCTCAACCGATGACTTAGCCACCATTGCCATCGAGAGAATACAGCTTAATTTAATATAGGACATAAATTCTTTTAATAATCCTTTCCTTCATCATGAAAAAAAAAAAAAAAAAAAAAATCATGCTCCTGATCCTTTTCACAGCGAATCCTTTAACCTTGATTTTGATGTCAACATCCACCACCACCTGTGGGACTTTGAAACAGTTCATTTATTCCCTCCCCTTGGCTTCCCTTCTCTAAGCTCCTCCCTGTTCTGTGCAAACTGACAAACCTACTAGTCAGCTGCCTACATAAGCACCAAGGAAACTGTCGATTTTCCTTTAACCCTCTTTCAGTCAAGCAACTGCACTAACTGGCAACTGGCAAACTGCACTAACGACCTTTCCTCATACTACTCAGCTTGCTGGGAACACTCTCAATTTCCATTCCCTTCAACCCACTGCTTTCTAATTTTGTTACTTTTTAAAAGTCATAGTTATTGCCTGGCTGGTGTGGCTCAGTGGACTAAGCATCATCCCATGGACTGAGAGGTCCCAGTTCGATTCCCAATCAGGGCACAGGCCTGGCTTTTGGGCTTGATCCCCAGTAGGGGGAGTGCAGGAGGCAGCTGATCCATGTTACTCTCTCACATTGATGTTTCGCTCGCTCTCTTCCTTCCTCTCTCTAAAAAATCAATTAAAAAAAAAAAAAAGCAAGAATCATAGTGATTGAATGCATATGGTCAAACATAAGCCTTTATGTCATTTTTCAGGTACCACTCTTTGGAGAGAACTCTCTTAACTTTCCTTCGGTGTTAATATGTGTGCACACTTACTTCTTGATTTTTCAGTTTAAATCACATCTATTCACTTCAGTCTATGGAAGTTGAGGATTTATTTGTTTTTACTACCTATTCCCATCCTCCCTCCCCACACATTCACACCCTTTACCTCTTACAACTATAGTTAGGTCACAAGCTCATAATGTTTTGCTAAATCAATGTTCAGTGGTTTATTATGGCCATGTAAATGCTTTTCACACATATCGCGATGTTTTCTCCCTTTCATTCCCAAGTTTCCATTACCCTAGGAGCTAATAAACATTTGTTTACTTGTTTTCCTAGTTTTCTATGTACTTCTCCCTAAATTCAAACCCAAATTTCCCCAATTATCTAAATCTCTAAGCTTATTAAAATATATCAAGTAGTTTATTACTTTAATTTCCTTGGAGATGTCCCTCTCAGAGCCTTCTGACCTGTACCAGTCTGAATTTGCAGGGTTTTTTAAAATCACGGGCTAATCAGATTTCTCGGAACTCAGATTCTCAGATTTCTCAGATTCTTCTTCAAGCATATTTTCCAATACTCCAGAGCTGAGTTACAAAGAGGCCACGTAATTTCAATATTTAGATTGTAGACAGATTGTCAGGTACGCCCTTATTTTTGAAGGAGCTATCCCATCTCCAACTATGTCTGATATCCCCTAGTCTAGGTAACTTCTGTTTCAGCCTCTCCAGGAAATAAACATACAGTCCTGTGCTGACAGTGTGGGCTAGTCACCCAAATACAGATTCGGGAAACGAGTCTCCTTTAAATAAAATTTTAAACAACCTTCTTCGTTTCAGTCCACCTTCAAACTCATTTCCCATTTTTGAGCTTTTTAGAATTCTGTAGTTCAAACTGATCTATTTTATAACTTCCTCCATGGACCATGCAGATTTTTTTTCTTGGGCTTGCTAGTCCTCTGTTTCATATTTCTGTTTTTCTGCTTTGGAAATTTTATAGTTGTGATCTCTCTGCATGAACATTTGCTTTTGTAAAGGAATGTCTCCGTAAATGAGTGGGAATTTAAAAGCAAGCAAATTCAGATGTTCAATCTCCCATCTCTGACAAATGGCTTTGGTATTCTGGTTTTGCATAGATCTTGTTTTCAAGTCAATAAGTTTTGGCAACTGCAACTAACTTCAAACAAGGTCAGAATATTTCTTCACATCAGAAAATTCTCTTGCACTCTTTGACTATAATTCTCGCCCCACCACACCCCCTCCCACCACCCCAGGGCATCCTGTTTCTGGTTTCTAGCATCTAAAGACTGGTTTTGCCAATTCTTGGGCATCATGTAAATAGAACTGCACAGTACGTTCTATTTTGTGTCTGGCTTTTTTTTTTTTTCCTTCTTTTTTTTTTTTGCTCAATGTAATGTTTTTGAGACTGATCCATGCTGTTGAGTATAGCAGGAATCTTCCCTTTTAATTGCTGAATAGTATTCCATGGTATGAAGATATATATATTCTCTTGTTTATGTATATTTGGGCTGTTTCCAGTTTTGACCAAAACTTTTTTAGTCACCAAATCCCAAAGCTTCTTTTCAGCAAAGACATATTTGTAGCAGAGGACACTAACTACTATTCACTGTTCCTCCCCTCCCCTTCGGCATTCAAGACGGTAATGTCTCTCATCTCCCCAGACACCACCTCTTCCCTGTCACCAAGCAGTACTTGACCCTTAACTTACATATTTCTTCAAATTCGTTGAAATAGCTTACCTCATCTTTAAACAAAGGAGAGCTGATGATGTCTAATCCACTCTGTCTAGCTCAGACACCTCACCTGAGCCCCAGGTAACCTTTCTAGCTACTCCCGGTCTCACCGCTTTGTGGGGTCTTGCTGGCCCTTCAAACTCAACTGTCAAAACCGAACTCTAATTTCTTCAAAACTTGTTTCTCCTTTTTAATGTCTGGTCTTGATTGAAAGCATAACTAAGTAGGCCACCCACACAGAAAAACAGTTCCCTTAAGACTTTTCTCCTTTAAGATCTACGTTTATTTTAATGATCAAGTCCTATCGGCTATACCTCCATGATACTGTTGGCATCTTGCTTCTTCTTTGGTCTCAACTCAGTCTCGTCTCATCTTTTACCTAGAGTCCGGCCTCTTCACTGGTTTCACCATCACTTCAAATGCTTCACATTAACACCTGTTTTATTTCTCAACTTGTTATCATGTCACTCGTTTTCTTAGAAATATTTGATGACTTCCCTCATTCTCCGCCTTCACTGTCAAATGCCTTCAACCACTCTGAATTAGAAGCGATCCTGGTGTCTGACACCGTCCTCGGCGCGGTCGGCCTTTGCCCGTGTACTGACAGGCCATCTTCCGGCCAGGCCCACGCGGGCTACCACCACTACCCGAGCTAGCTATGGTGCGTGAAGCACATTCCGCATATATCCTCATTATGAAGCTCTGACATCCAAGGGCTTAACTACGTCAACGTTGCTCACTGAGCAGCCCTGGGCCGGCTTGCTCAGGGAGGAAATGCCTATTCTTTATAAAATTGACTGTCTAGCAAACTTGTTCTTCCATTACAGTTTGGAAGCACAAACAACACATTTTATACTGCACAAGTGTTTGACCCACTACGCATACAAAAGACATCAAAGGGCTTGTATATAGCACCAGCTTGAGTACACGTGATACTCTGACACACGCAAGGTTTGTTGTTTTCTAAAGCTAGAGACGGACTGGATTTGACTACCTAGATGTGGGCCTCTCATCGCCCCTGACGCCAGACATTTGCCTGCACCTTAACTTGAGAATTACCCCTCTGCTTGGAGAAAATATTAGCACACATATATTTCATAAAGGATTTGTTTGCAGAACACATTAACAACTCCAATTCTGTAACAAGTAAAACAACCTGAATGTTTAAATGGGCAAAACATTTAACAGACAGCTCTGAAAGTGACAAGTGGAAGAAGAATGCTCAACATCATGAGTCACGGAGAAACGCAAGTGAAAGCAACAAGACCCCACCGTCCACGCTCGCTCGGTGGAAACACCACCAACCAAGTCTCAGTGAGGACGCAGAAGCAGCGAAACGTCAACGGATCCGGCTGGGCAACTTCCTAGAACCCTACACAGATTCTTGGCATCCGACCAAGCGATTCTACCCTTGGTTATTTATCTAAGATAAAATAAATCACACATTCAAAGACTTGTACTTGAATTTTATAACAGTGTTATTTATAAAATAGACAAAAGGGAAAATAACCCAAATGCTCATCAACTGGCAAACGAATATAAAAATTGTGGCGTAGTCATACAATGAAATACTCAGTGATACAAAAGCACTCTAACTACTGATTCGTGCAACAACATGGGTGTGAGTCTCAAAGGCATCATGCAAA